TGTGTGTGTGTGTGTGTGTGTGTGTGTGTGTGTGTATGTGTGTGTGTATCATATTGTATGTTGTCTCTGTATTGTTTTGTATATATGTTATGACTGATAAGTCAACCGACTTAAAGTAATAAAGAACTTGAACTTAATCAGCATTTGCCAATTACCACAGTACACTGATTGTAGTACAATTATAAACCCATTGATCAGCTGATATTGCTTCCGCTTGAGTTACACAGAAAAGAAAATTAATCAGGATTAATTATAATTAATACTTACAGTCTTAATCGCATGTTAGAAGTATCCTTCGATTGGTATACGTGTATCCGAACTTGTCATGGGAACATGCGCACGTCTGAAACACAACAGTCGTATATGACCAAACGGCGTATCTCACCCTCTAAATCGCCACCAGTTCACAACATACAAACATACCCGTAACAGGTTTTAAGTGACATTATTGATCATTGAGAAATCGACCAGTCTTTCTAACATCACACTGGAGCTATTCTTATCGATCTTTTGACGTCGTTTTCATTCTACAGCTCAACATAATTGTTACCATGCATTTGCAGGAACAATGGCGTAGTTCAGAAAACCTGACAGGACACCGAAGACAATAATATGTATATATATTAAATCACGTGACATCATTTTATATCCCGAAGAGATTTAGAAACAAAATTTTGATTGGTTTAGAATGAATTTGTTCATGATCTCTGTTTGCTTTCCCACACACCACTTTACGATTGAAAAATCCTTCCTGATAAAATGTAGGACAATAGGTTTGTAGTTTAGACAAGTGTTAAAATAAATCAATATATCAAGCCAACTCTCGTCACAGTCTCATTCAATTAATTATTAAAACAATATGACTCCCAGTTGGTCGAGGCAGATAAACACACATTATATGTTATCGAGGATCGAGTTGGATATTCTGTTTCTCTCTGATGACATTTATTACTCAGCATATTATTCCCGACATAGTTAAGACTAAAATATTTCTTTTTCATAAATAGTTAAAACAAAGATGATAAAATAAAAAAGACGATAAAATGAAAATAATGTGATGAAATAAAAATAATACATGAATAAATTAAACTAAACAACACAGTCTTGTTACTGTACATTTACCAGTTCTATACGGCAATAAACCAATTGGATGACACTGGCTATTCTAAAGGAAAAAATGGAAAAAAATGAATGTCGATTGTTAAACAACACAAGATGCGAGGAGACACCCAAAGAAAAGACATCACAAAGTCTCACGAAACAGAAAGTAAAACTACTTACGTCAGAAGGGTAAGCGCTGCCTGCGCCACAAGTGGTTCCCATCACGATGCAGGAAATTTCGAAGGTCAACAATGATCTAGTACATGGTAATCAAGTCATGGCATACATTGGAATTTCTTATAACGACCGTAATGGTTTCTACAACGTAGACTGAAGTCTTGTCAATAGAAATATCTAGGTTGTTAGTATAATGGCAATCAGGGCATACCTACCCCCAAAGATCCATGGTTCTTGGGTAAGGAGTGGTACCTACGTGCTGCCATGTTATCGACTTACCGTTAAAGGACACAAATATGACAAAATCAGATGGTTGCAACCGACCAGCACACATTTCCAAAACTGTACATTACATTGCCCACCTACCCGGGTAGAATGGGCTGCATTTCCCCCAAGTCACAACACCAAATACGTTAAACAAACACAATCTCAATTATCCTTTTTGTTTTTGTTCGTGACTCTGAGGCGATGCTAGCTGTATTTCTTATGTAAAATTAAAAACATACAAGTAATTATATATAACGACAACATACTACATGATTGTCGATTTGTTTATATAGTGTTATTCAGTTCTGTCCATATAATTGTGTTTTTAAATGTTATATGCAATGAATATATAATTATAATAGATAATTTAAAAGAGACAAGAGGGAGAATAGAGCAGAGTAAAAATATAACGGTAAACCAAACTACTGTAGTTTGTGATATATACCACAGGCATGGCGATTTTCATTTGAGAGCATGTTGATCTGAAATTAAATATTTTCTTAAAATGTTATCAAAGCACAGACATTCCTATGGGTCACGATACTAAATGTACGACACATTATCATATGTCAGAACGTCATATGAACCTGCAACGAGGGGTCATGTAAACCATTGAACAGGATGTCATGTAAACAATGAAACAGGATGACATGTAAACAAGGAAACAGGATGATATGTAAACCATGGGACAGGATGTCATGTAAACAATGATACAGGTTGACATGTAAACAATGAAACAGGATGACATGTAAACAAGGAAACAGGATGATATGTAAACCATGGGACAGGATGTCATGTAAACAATGATACAGGTTGACATGTAAACAATGAAACAGGATGACATGTAAACCATGGCACAGGATGACATGTAAACCATGGAACAGAATGTCATGTAACCATGGAACAGGATGACATGTAAACCATGGAACAGGATATCATGTTAACCATGGAACAGGATGACATGTAAACCATGGAACAGGATGTCATGTAAACCATGAAACAGGATGACATGTAAACAATGAAACAGGATGACATTTAAACAATGAAACAGGATGACATCTAAACCATGGAACAGGATGTCATGTAAACCATTGATTAAGATGTCATGTTAACCATGGAACAGGATGACATGTAAACAATGAAACAGGATGACATGTAAACCATGGAACAGGATGACATGTAAACCATGGAACAGAATGACATGTAAACCATGTTACAGGATGACATGTAAACCATGGATAAGGATGACATGTAAAACATGGAACAGAATGTCATGTAAACCGTGGAACAGGATGACATGTAAATCATGGAACAGGATGTCATGTTAACCATGGAACAGGATGACATGTAAACCATGGAACAGGATGACATGAAAATCATGGAACAGGATGTCAATTTAACCATTGATTATGATGACCTGTAAACAATGAAACATGAAGTCATGTAAACAATTAAACAGGATGACATGTAAACCATGGAACAGAATGTCATGTAAACCATCGAAAAGGATGTCATGCAAACCATGGAACAGTATGTCATGTAAACCACTGATTATGATGACATGTAAACAATGAAACATGAAGTCATGTAAACAATTAAACAGGATGACATGTAAACAATGAAACAGGATGTCATGTAAACAATGATACAGGATGTCAGGTAAACAATGAAACATGATGACATGTAAACAATAAAACAGGATGTCATGTAAACAATGAAACAGGATGTCATGTAAACAATGATACAGGGTGTCAGGTAAACAATGAAACATGATGACATGTAAACAATGAATCAGGATGACATGTAAACAATGAAACAGGCTGACATGTAAACAATGAAACAGGATGACATGTAAACCATGGAACAGAATGTCATGTAAACCATGGAACAGGATGTCATGTAAACCATGGAATAGGATGTCATGCAAACCATGGAACAGGATGTCATGTAAACCACTGATTGTGATGACATGTAAACAATGAAACATGAAGTCGTGTAAAAAATGAAACAGGATGACATGTAAACAATGAAACAGGATGTGATGTAAACAATGAAACATGATGACATGTAAACAATGAATCAGGATGACATGTAAACAATGAAACAGGATGACATGTAAACAATGAAACAGGATGACATGTAAACAATGAAACAGGATGACATGTAAACCATGGAACAGGATATCATGTTAACCATGGAACAGGATGTCATGTAAACCATGGAACATGATGTCATGTAAACCATTGATTATGATGACATGTAAACAATGAAACACGATGTCATGTTAACAATGAAACATGATGACATGTAAACAATGAAACAGGCTGTCATGTAAACAATGAAACAGGATGACATGCAAACATTGACACAGGATGTCATGTTAACAATAAAACATGAGGACAGGTAAACAATAAAACAGGATGTCATGTAAACAATGAAACAGGTTGACATGTAAACAATGAAACAGGATGACATATAAACAATGAAACAGGATGTCATGTAAACTATTAAACAGGATGTCATGTAAAAAATGAAACAGGATGACATGTAAACAATGAAACACGATGTCATGTTAACAATGAAACATGATGACATGTAAACAATAAAACAGGATGTCATGTAAACAATGAAACAGGAGGTCATGTAAACCATGGATTATGATGACATGTAAACAATGAAACATGATGTCATGTAAACAATGAAACAGGATGACAGATGTCATGTAAACAATGAAACAGGATGACATGTAAACCATATGACATGTAAACAATGAAACATGATGTCATGTAAACAAGGAAACAGTATGACATGTAAACCATGGAACATGATGTCATGTGAACCATTGATTATGATGACATGTAAACAATGAAACATGCTGTCATGTAAACAATGCAACAGGATGACATGTAAACATTGAAACAGGATGTCATGTTAACAATGAAACATGATGACATGTAAACAATAAAACAGGATGTCATGTAAACAATGAAACAGGTTGACATGTAAACAATGAAACAGGATGACATATAAACAATGAAACAGGATGTCATGTAAACAATGAAACAGGATGTCATGTAAAAAATGAAACAGGATGACATGTAAACAATGAAACACGATGTCATCTTAACAATGAAACATGATGACATGTAAACAATAAAACAGGATGTCATGTAAACAATGAAACATGATGACATGTAAACAATGAAACAGGCTGTCATGTAAACAATGAAACAGGATGACATGCAAACATTGACACAGGATGTCATGTTAACAATAAAACATGAGGACAGGTAAACAATAAAACAGGATGTCATGTAAACAATGAAACAGGTTGACATGTAAACAATGCAACAGGATAACATGTAAACAATGAAACAGAATGTCATGTAAACAATTAAACAGGATGGCATGTAAACAATGAAACAGTATGACATGTAAACCATGGAACAGTATGTCATGTAAACCATTGATTATGATGACATGTAAACAATGAAACAGGATGTCATGAATGAAACAGGATGACATGTAAACAATGAAACAGTATGACATGTAAACCATGGAACATGATGTCATGTGAACCATTGATTATGATGACATGTAAACAATAACAATGAAACAGGATGACATGTAAACAAGGAAACAGTATGACATGTAAACCATGGAACAGTATGTCATGTAAACCATTGATTATGATGACATGTAAACAATGAAACACGATGTCATGTTAACAATGAAACATGATGACATGTAAACAATGAAACAGAATGACATGTAAACAATGAAACAGGATGACATGTAAACCATATGACATGTAAACAATGAAACATGATGTCATATAAACAATGAAACAGGATGACATGCAAACATTGAAACAGGATGTCATGTTAACAATAAAACATGAGGACAGGTAAACAATAAAACAGGATGTCATGTAAACAATGAAACATGATGACATGTAAACCATTGAACAGAATGTCATGTACACCATGGAACAGAATCTCATGTAAACCATGGAACAGAATGTCATGTCAGAATGTCATG